TACACATGTATAGTTATTCTGTTTCAGGGCAGTTTGTTTGTGCCAATTATATTATGAAAGCTTTGTAAAAATGTTCAGTGTCAACAAAGTTTGGCTGTGAGATGTACTGTTGTGGGATCTTAGTTTAGCTCACTGCTTGTCAAACTGAGTCCCAACTGTATGCAATTATTTTTCCTTTCTTTAAAGTTCGCTTTTGTCCTTGTCTTTGGGAAATATTCCAGTAGCAGGAAGCTAATATTGACTGTCACTGGAGATAGTTAAAAGACTGCAGTGACCTCAGAGGATCAGTGCGTTTGGTGTAGCTTGATGACGCACTTTGACCACAACATCAGATTCCCCCTTCATCCCCCTCATCCTCCTGATGGGCATCATGTGGACAGCTGTCAGTCATCCTGCTGAATAGTGGGATGTTATCAGAGGCAGTGTTTTCACTCTGTGATCACCGATCCTTTTCACCGAGAACAAGGGGCAGGGATGATGGGTATTTGCATAAAAGTCCTCGAGCAGTATTAGAGCAGTATCAAGAATGCATGAGGCGACAATTATACGTATTTTGGCCATCTTTGTCACCCTTGTCAACTGAGTGCTAACACAGTGTTTCGACAGACCTGAAATAATTACAGCACTCTGCGAGCAAAGAGAACTGGAGGAGAGAAGATTGTTGATTGTTTCACTCTGAAGCGAAAGAGAATTAGAGTAAATATTGGAGAAAGTTGGGACAGTGTGATTCGCAGAGAGCAGCAGTACACAGCATTAATCCTTGTCGTGGATTTTATGCATGAGCAATACAGAGAAATTGGCAAAGAATGCTCAAACTATCAGTAAGTCCCGTCGACTGGATTGCTTAATATTGTTTTGGTATGACGTGCTTGCAATGTCTCCAATAAATCCACAAGTACATCTATTGTAACCCTATTAGCAAATCCATTGTATGAATCACGGTGCTATGTTTAAGCCTTTGTGAAATTTGGTTTTAAAATGGATGATGCAACTCCAACATTTTGAACAGCTGCTGGGTAGCATGGCAAAATCTGGACTGAAACGTTTGTTTGACCATCTTCCTATGGACATTTTTGCACTATGTACATCATGTTTTTATATATATATCCTGCTTACTTGAAGTAAACGGTTATTTTGTGATTTTTTTGTAAATGATTGAGTGTTCTTGCATTTTAATGTGTGAGTTTTTTTAATACCTCGGGACTGTGGGAAACAGTATTTCGATCTCTCTGTGTGTACAAACATATTTTGAGATTGACAATAAAGTTGACTTTGACTTCCACTTCAATCTTCAACGACAACCTGAGAAATGTTGGTAATCAAACTTAATAATATGGGAAACAATCTCCCAACATACTTGACAATGCCGTTTGTTTAATGAGAACAGTAGAATGATATCACCCCTCTCATCTAACTTTGTGCCAGAAAGCGAATATGTAGTGTATTTCACAAATATTACTCGAAGCCAAAACACACCCGGTTGTAACCAGATGTTTATCTGAGGCGCAGCGAGGCTGTAATTTGAATTGCCAGCTTGTCACACCCGCAGCCAGCCAACTTGGCAGAGCAGACACGAGTCCAGTTTAACACATTGTATTTCTAGTCCCTCTGGTTAGACTATTTCATATGTATCTGACCAGATTACAATAAATCCACATCATTAAACATTTGCGTACACTCACAATCAATATTCCAATTACTGTATATAGACTATTCTGCACTGTTTCTATTATATTCTGTTTCTATTATATTTAAGCAATAGCTCACGACAGGCCGTGGTATATGCTCAGTATATCACAGCTAAGGGGCGTGGTTCGGCCCAGCTAAGGGGCGTGGTTCGGCCCAGCTAAGGGGCGTGGTTCGGCCCAGCTAAGGGGCGTGGTTCGGCCCAGCTAAGGGGCGTGGTTCGGCCCAGCTAAGGGGCGTGGTTCGGCCCAGCTAAGGGGCGTGGTTCGGCCCGACGCGAAGCTTTTCAGCCCAACTGTATACAGTTTTTCTCAGACGCGGAGGGACACTGACTTGTTGTGAAAAGTAACTACAATTCTACCCGTGGTATACGCTCAGTATATCACAGCTAAGAACCAATCAGATTGCTTGATTTGACTTGTCCGTTTTATAATCTATTTTATTTTATTTACTTGTACTATTTTATCTGAGTTATTGTGTTGCACTGTTGGAGGAGCCTGTGACCTAAGATTTTCATTGTCATAAATACACTGTAGCTATGCACACATGACAATAAAAGCCTTGAAACTTGAAACTTAGTGACAGTACAAATGTAAGGTAGTGTTTTTTGTGTGTGTTCATGGTCTCACTGCGAAACCATTTCATTCTGGAGTGCCTGAAAACAAGGGGAGTGCTTTGATAGGATTTTGAATGGTGCAATTGTGCTCTGAAACCAAGCAAAATCCATTATGAGATGAGAAAATGGGTGACCTCGTGCTGGCCATTTCGGCCTCCTAGGATAAAACGAAGAAGAGGACGGGCATTCACCGTGGCGGGGTTGAATAAGGATTCTATTAGATGCATGAAAGAGAAGGGCTTTAGCATTATCGTGGATCAATGCCATTTCCATTCACACAGCCTTTTGTAAGCCAGATGTCTATAAGAACCTACATGTGTCCTTTTTTTCTCTTTTCACCAAGCACCATGGGACATTTCATCACATTGGGGAATCTTGTCTCTTGTTCTTTTCTCTGCACGGCCTCACGCTGTCTGGCACTCCAATGCCGTTTTCAATTGCCTCTTCTCTCTTTCTTTACCTCGTCAGTACGTGTGGTGTGAATCATTGCCAGGACTAAGGTTCTTCATCGGTAACAGCGCAACTTGCTTGCTTGACAGTTGGACTGTACACCGCTGGGATACAACTGAGAAGATGGAGGAGGACGTTTATATTGTCGGGTTGTTGTCCTATGGGTTCCCCTTTATTGTCTAATGAGCAGCAGAAGGCTATCTGTAGGAACACCTAAGAGGGCTGAAAGGAGAAGGAGGGGAGAGTTTACATGACTGCATTGAGACTGTCCATCTTTTACTGTCCTTCCGTTATTCTTTAACTTTCTGCTTCACCTCCTTTTTGTCTCTTCATTTCTCATGCAGCCTCTTTCTTCTCATTTCCCCTGTTTTTCACTTTCCCCCTCGTGTTCCTTTCTCCAGCTCTGCGTCTCATAACTTGTTCGTACTTCTCCAATTATCAAGTGGCAGTATTTGGGGCTTTTAACAGAATGCATTCACTTAGCGAGGGTAACTTCGCCTTCGGTAACAGGAATTTGCAATTATCCGTCAAGACTCAGTGCAGCGAGAGAACAATGCTGAAGAGAGTGTCCTCTGAATTCCCACACAGTTTAACATTCGTCTGTGCTTTAAAGTTAGATCAGTGCAGTTCTGCTACACTTCCTCGCCGCTCTCGTAGAACTCCGTCGAGCTTCTGGCGCCGCCCTTCAAATCTGTCCTTACATATCCTGCCATCTGGTGTCTGCATGTTACAGAGGAGGGCGGTTTAAGGTGCGGTTCTTGATTAAGGCTGATTCATACATTAATCAACCGTGGTTTGGTTGAGAGGGCTACTTTTAAAATGTGCTAGAACATGAAGGACTGAACGGAAAAAAAGTTAGCCGGAAGTAAAGGTCAAACAGTTTAAATATTTAAAATAAAGTAGCGGATAAACAGATGACGTTGTTAGCTAAAAGTAGCGGATAACCTATTGAAATTGTTAGCTAAAACTAATTGATGAGATGTTAAATAATGAATAATGAAATAGTGTAAACACTAGACAATTAACATGTCCATGTACTGTAACTGTCAATATAACCCAAATGCCAATTTTGCAGTATCCTACACTGCATCAGCTTTTCACAGCAGTTTCTTCCCATTACTCGTCACGTTACAACTTCAGTTTAGAGTTCAGCTGAGAGGGTCAAATGTATTTTAGATTATGTGAAAAATGCAGAGTACAGAATCTGTCAACTATGCAGACAAGTCAAATCAATTTGAAATGCAGAAGTGAATCTCCAGTGAGAGCAGTGGGTCCGATTGCAGAGCATTTTCACATTTGAAGCATTGAGTGCAAAAGATTGGCCAAACGTTACAATCACGTCCAAGAACATTGATCCTGTGGAAACGTCTGAAGTGTCTGCTTGTGACAGATCTTTCTTCATTGCCACTGCAGTGGAATTAACCCCAGGTCAGCACTGTAAAGATAGACTGATAGTTCCTATAGAAGTACTGTACCGTCAAGGGGATATGGTGAGACACCGAGGATCAAAGGATTCCATCTGGTTGGCGTTCTAGGAATAGTTTGTCTAGTAAAAAACATTATCTTACAAACAAGAAACATTTAGTCAGTTTATTTAATTTTTGATTAATTTAGGTAGTGCTAATTTTATAATCAAACAAACTTTTAGTGTGAGAATTCCTTGGCTTTCATTTAAATAATTAATTTGAACATTTTAAACCCTTGTTCTCGACTGAGGGCTTATTAAGGACACAGTGTTCAGATTTTTCTCACAGTATCTCACACCAGGATTTAAGAAGTTTTAATAAAACACTTCTTTTTTTGATTAGCTGTTAATCATCTTAGTCAATCTACATAAAACATGTCAGCTCAGCAATATAGTGAATTCTGTATCCTGGTACATGAGTATTCCAGCTTAAAATCTCTCATAAAACTGTAGTACTGGCATGCATGGTCAAATGGATGGTAAAACCGGATGTCAATGACAGCAGATGCAGCTTTTCAGCGTACATATATACTCTCTGGTAACTGTCCAAATGTGTATAAGGCAGCACGACATATAATAGGCTGCAGCTGTAGAATGATGGCAAGAGTCCATCGGCTGATGGTACCGACATGAATGGATGTTGGAAGAATTGTCGAGCATCATTTCTAAAATTGGCAGATCCTACAGTGTGAAAAAGGAGGGTGTTATGTAAGAGCTTTAAACTGTCAACGCTCGCACTACACCTGATTCTAACCTTGTCTTTTCACGTGTCCCTTCCCACAGAGGGTGGTCAGATCAACAACAACGTGGGAGTGGGCTCTAACGTGGTCCAGCAGCACCCTTACCCGGCCCTCAACCAGCTGGCTCACGTCTACGAACAGCAGCAGCAGCAGCAACAACAACAACAACAACAACAGCATCAGCAGCTACAGCAGCAGCAAAACAAGGACTTCAACAAGTACGCCTCCCTGAAGGCTGTGGGTGAGTGTCTGACAGCTTCTCTGATTATCTTAACTAAAGAACAGTTACAGTGTGAGAAGAAATAGCGTACTTGATGTTGTGCTCTTGGTTTTTGGGGGTTGATTGTAGCACTTTCTATGGCAATGTTTGGCAGTTCAGAATGAATCTTAAGAGCAGTGAATTTGGAGACTTTTATCAATTACTTGTTATTGTCGTGGGGGGGGGGGGGGGGGGGGGGGGGGGGGGGGGGGGGGGGGGGGGGGGGGGGGGGGGGGGGGTGGGGTTATTTGTTCGGTTGTTTGCGTGTGTTTTCATTCTGTCAGAAGCTACGTTTTCATACAACTGCACCCATTAGTCTTGTATTCTTTGAGATACATTTATGAATGTATGCTCAAGGACATCTCATGGTTCACAATTGTATACCATCATTGACTGCTGATTCTCACTACTCTTAATCGACTTTTAGACGCCACAAGTAAAGAAGAAGAAGTCAACAGCTGCTTAAGTAACAAAACAATATTGTCGGCAAATGGCGAGGCAAAAAAAAAGCATTTCTTGGTGTGTTGCGGGGCCAATCTTTGCTTTTTTCATGGCTCAAAACATAAATCCACAGAGAGGTTTGGTCTTTTTTTTTTTACAAGAGCATTTGCAGGTTAATTCCATATCATATATTGTTATCCCTCCCTACAGGCCGATCACGCAGACTGCGTGGGGCCTCACCTTGCAGAGGGGGCCTCATCTTGCGGAGGGAGCCTCAACTGAGCCGAAAATGCGGCGCACCTATGCGGCGCAATTAGTGTGGCGCGGCACAGTTTCGCCGCTGCTCCACTAGCACCCCCCACCCCGTCGACGCTCGCGAAACAGAGGGCCTCATCATATATCTTTGCGTGGGGCCTCATGTTGGCCAGGGACGGCCCGGGTTATCCATTAAAGTGAGGCACCATTCAAGAAGAATACATCCATGTTTTTCGTTTGACGTCGCCACTATCTTGACTGTAAGGAAGTTCAAACTTGACTAGTTTTCATTACAGTTAACCAAACCCAGCAGCGATGTGATTAAACCACAGAGCTCTGCAGGCTGATCTGACAGGTGATATTGATTAAACTACCAAACTGGACGCGCTGTAAAACAGTAACAGCCTGATATCAAGCTGTTTGACAGCTTAATGCATGCCACAAGACTCAATGAGCTCATTTCTTAGTTGCAGCTGATTTAAATTCTCCTCACCATGCCCATATGCTATTGGCAGTGGCATCACTATTTCATAACCTGAATTCATTTTAGATTGACTTGTGAATTTGTCAGTGCGTGTGTCAGCTTGTTTATGCTAGACAGGTGCCCTGCGCTCACTTACATGCAGCCCACTCACGCCAGATATCATCCAAACACACACATTGAGAAATCAGTACAAACAGCTGCAAGATGCCATTTGTCTGTATTTATTAAAAAACAATCAGCTCATCTTTTTAAAAGCCTATCTCTGCATGACAAGCAGCGGAGTAAGAAATATTTGATTCAGATGACAAATAGGTGTGAGGTGTCTCTTTATTGTAAATATAAATATGACTCCCTACACCACGCTGCGTGCAGAGGACCGTGACTCATCCCCAGACATGTAACAGTAATAAATGATCATGCTTGTTTATGTACTGCTTTATGCCCTGGAAGCAAGGTGTAATTATAGTAGCCGTTTATATAACTGCCAGCGAAATTGAAAGCAGAAACGGATGAATAATAAGTGAGAAGTGGACCACATCATGTTTGAGCTTTAAGAAATTACACCTCGTGAGAACATCAATAAAAACGGTGATTAACACTGTCATCCCGAGTCCTGGACCCTGGCACATGTTGTCATATTGTGCGGCGGTGTATTTCTGTTCATTCCCAGAATGCAGGGCAAATATAGACATCACACAATATATATTTTCAGCTACAGCTGTGTTTGATTGCAGAAAATTGTTCATTTATCTGACGTGCTGACAGAAGACGATGGCGGTGTCGGTCCCCGAGGGTCAGAGAACAAAGGGATTCTTTCTCAACTCAATATATCGCACCAATATTCAAGAAGGAGAGAATATATCCATCATAGAGAAGATGCCAATTTATGTGCTGACAGAAGCTTCAATATATCAGAGTGCAGTGCAGCCGCAATTTGAGGAAGGGACTCAAACCCACTGTTTCCCAACTGGAAAATCTTCCTCTCTGATGTTAGGCTGCAGCTTTCCTTTCATCTCAACCACACATTCAAACCAACAGATGGATGCAGCACACGCTCCGGGGATAGAGGATGGCATTTTGGGGAATCTCAGGGAAAAAGATGAAGCAGGTTGAGGATACAAATGAACAAGGAAAAGGATGATTTTGGCTAAATTAATGGAAGTATTACAAATTGAGAGAACAGTATTAAAATATGTATTTTCCTTTGAATCATTCATTTGACTTAAAATGTTTTTTTTCCAAGTCTGTAGTTACAAGGAATTCAACCTGACGAGACAAAAATAGTGCATCATGTGAAAAGTCAAAGTTAAAAATCGAAGTGAGGTCAAAATCCTGAGTAAAGGGAAATTAATTCACATAAGAATTGCAATTCGTATAGTCTACAAAATGTTATGTCATCAGTAAAAGGTATGTTAATCCTAGGAAAAGGTGGAACCAATCAACACACTAGAATAATCTTGTAGTTTGTCTTCTAAAAAAGGCAAGCTTTTGGTCACATTTTGGATAGTTAAAGGTGGGGTAGGTAAGTTTGAGAAACCGGGTCGAGATACACTTTTTGTTATATTCCATGGAATGCTCTTAACATCCCGATAGCAATGAATATCTGAAGTGCTTTGACAAAAAATACATAAAAAAATGTCATCTGTGGAAGCAGTAGTACTGTAAAAAGCACGACCAATCATCTGAGCCGGCCCGGCTAAAATAACTGGATGGCCTACCTGCCTGTCAGCCTTCCATCTGTGCACAAACTTATCTTGTGCCCTCATTGGTCATGTGCGCGTTCGTGTGTGTTGGAGGAGGGGCTCTGTAAGGAAGTGGCAGATTTTTTCCGGCTGTGTATTTTCAAATTCTAGCGCACTCGAGCTGGTTTCTCCAAAATTACCTACCCCACCTTTAACAAATGAGAAAAAGGCAAGGTATTTTGTAAATATATCCAACCCAACGTACTCCAGCACTGGCAAACAAACACTAACCAACACAACTTGGCCCAAAGAAGGTTTCATTGCGAAGACTCACCAATTATCTGACATTCTTTACTCGATATCATTGAATCTGGTTTACATAAGACATTAAGCCAGTGATGTCGGTCACTGAATATTTCACTTTGATTTCATAATTTTCCTACTGGTTGAAAACTCTGACATTCCTCCGAATAAATACGATTAGATATTTCAAATAAAGTAGCTGCGTACTCCCACTCCACACACTTTCCTCTAATTCATTCAGTTGTATAGTGACCCTGATCAAGACTATTTACTTTCATAACTGCCAGCTATCTTTTGCATTTCAGAAAGCTAATGGTTTCGGTGTACAGTGCACTTAAGTAAAAGCCAGAAACTATAACCCCTTTTATATTTATCTAATTAAGAATATCGTTAAGAATTGTTTCTGAATCAAACTGTGACACCAAGAGACCAACCGAGGGGGACGGCACGCTTTCTTTATTGGTTCACATGAACACGGGAGCACTTTCTCAGCACATTATTTGACAAAAAAAAAAAAAAAGTGCCAGACTAAATGTTCACTGTGAATGATTATTATTCTGAAGCAGTGTTAACTCAACATTGCGAGATGATTTTGAAAACGTACCGACATGTTCTGAGAGCAGGGACTGCCTTGAGGACATGAAATCAATCTAAAAAAGCTGCGGTAGGTAGGCTCGGAAAAATGGTTGAGAGCGGAATAAAGTGTACAGGATTACAAGTTAATGGGATGAAATGAAGTACTATGTGGTTTCAACTCTATACATGTGGGTTCAAACAGGGCCCTCTTTGCGTGGACTCAAATGGATCCGGGCAGCGCTGTAGAAATGACATTCAAACCTTTCAGCACATCTTACAATTATCTTTGCTTCCTTTGCCAACCCACTTCTCCCTCTCTGCTTCTTTATATCTGAAATGGTCCTCATCTTCCACTCACCACTTATCCTCAACCGTTTTTTCTCCCGTTTGCACTTGTAACCTTTTATGTATTGTGAATCGTTTTTCTCGTCTTTTTCCTCCACTCCTTCTTCATTTCCTCTCACCTTTTCTCCTGCTCCTTCCCTCCCTCCTCTCTCCACATCCAATCTTCTTCCTTCATTCATGTCGCCGCCTATATCATCCGCTTTCTAGCCTCTACTCCGCTTTTTCCCCTCACCTGTTCTTTTTGCATTTCTTGTCTCACCCACACATCATCTCCTCTTCACCCCCTGATCCCCCCTTTCCTCAATACATCAAGCTCCATATCGCTCTTTAGAGAATCATTGGGCTTCTAATCTCGACCCTCCCTTAGAGCGCTCATATCTGATTCCATTTCTGTAATTGAAGGGAGCGCCCTTGGCCCTCGTGGTTCACACTTGACTGACAGATTTCAGTGGTATTCAGAGGCTCCTGTGAAATGATTGGAAACCTGTCCACAGATATACAGCACAGGAGCCTGGCAGTACACACAAGCTGTGAAAAATGTGTGTGTGGAGAGGTATTAGTTATTTCCGCTAATCTTGAGCAACACAAATGGACTTTGCCTCTTCTCTTCAGCTTCACAGTCTGGTGTTCTCTCTGCTTGTTTATTACCCCATGAGAAATAGAACTACGGCTAAGATCAACACCATTTTCCCAACTGCCTCCATCAACCTTTTTTCCGTTTCTTGAATTGCCTCTTCTACTTTCCTAATGGTCTACCATCGGCTGATACTGTAAGCCACACTTCTGTCAATCAATAGCCATCTCCACTGTCCCCCTGTGGATCTATATAAGGTCAATTTATCGAACTGCAACTGCAGCCCAGGCAAAACAACATACTAATAAAAGGTCCCTGGATGCAGAGTGGTATGCAGTCTTTTACAAGTACAAACAACCAAACGCTAAATCTGAAAAACGTTCATAAACCCTGAGAAGACAACTGTGTTTCTTAATGCCTATTAATCAGATTTTCATGGCCAGCCTGATGGCTTTTGGTTAGGGTTTAACTACCCTAGAGAATACAATTATCACCCAACAACACTTCTTTTACAGACTTCTATACCTCACCTGCTGCTGTAGTTGTTAGCTGTTTTCAGTGTTTTGTATGCAGGGTGCGAACCCGCGAAAGAGCTTTAACGGTGGGACATTATTAAAAGACAAACCTTTTTTGAAATCATGTAGATTATAAAAAATATCCTCACACTTCAGCCATCATTTAATGTCTTTACATGGAAGTAGAAAGCCAGTTTGGTTATTGATCTGTTGCAGCATGGGTGTTACCTTAACAGGAAGTGGTTTGAGCTTAATGCTTTTAGTAGCTTGCCCATTTTTTTATTGTTAACAAGCAGATGTTGAGAAATTCCAGTGTTTTCCATGTTAACCACCTTTGTATGGTGTGTTTCATGTGCAGCAAGTCAGATGATCAGCAAAGTCTTTAGGATAAAACGTCTGGGCACTGTGCATATTTGTACCAAAATGTCATGACAATCCTTCCAGTCGATACTTTTGTCCACCTCCTAGTGCCACAAAAGGAAAAGTTCAGAATCACAAAAGTCTGTAGGAATAAATCTTGGGCACCATTAATGTCTCTACAAAATGTAATGTCAATTCAACCAATAATTGTTCAGATATTTCCGAGTAGACCAAGACAGACTGATCCGAGACCGCTACAACCATTCTCAGAGCAACGCCACTACTGTTAATAGCCATAAGATGTCACATTGTTCAGCCTTTTATAACCCAGCACAAGAAGTCAGAACGTGCGTCTTGAACAGCCTATTGTTCGGTTTACAATCACCCATAGTTCAGTGTCTTTGTCTGACATAATTGTGTTTCCACAGTGCAGATATCAGCTAAACTCTAACAGAGAGCCGGTTCAGACAAACATACCGTTCATACATCTCTCATTCTGTGCCAATATGGAATATCTTAATGGTATTAGCGTATTTCCTGCCAAATAATACAACCATTTTGAGTTTCTTGTCAGACTGGAATTGACTCCAAGAGAGTATTTACTCTATATAATGGATGTTTTTGGGTATCACTATGACATGACTATGACTCAGGAATACATTAGGCTTTGTATTTGCGAAAAAAAAGTTCATTTGGACTTTTAAAACTAATAATTCCCCCAGCAGGAAACCTGATGGCTGATGAAAAGCAGATTGACAGATTGGTCCATTCCTAATAATCTCTTTGTGTTATTGACACTCCAGAGATGCAGTGCTTGATTTGCTGATGCATAATGCGTGTCAGCCTCTGTGGGACGCTGGCCTTTCCAAGCCAGAGGCATGCAGACCCCACACTGCGTAACAGCGGTGTTTTCCATTTCCACTCACGTACACCGCTGGAGGTGTGCACCGGTGAGCCGACTGCTGCTGGATTGATTCACCTGTCGCCTGAGCAGGTTTGATCCCCAGCGGCGGTCTGGCGGCGACTTAGCGCTCCCCCTCCTCCCCACAAACACCTCTGCTGTTCCTCGTTTCTCTCCCCGTTCACAGTGTGATAAAGTAGATTTATAGCTACAGCGGAAAAGCAAACTCGCTGAGTGTGTTAACTTTGTCTTCAAGGACGTGGAGGCAACAAGGGCTAAAGAGTAATGACTCGGCTGTTGACGTGAATTTGACGGGAGAAAAAAGGTCTCGTTTCGCAGTGATAGGAAAGACTGTATCTTGTTGACAGTGACTGACACAGGAAGGAATGAATGTGAGGCAATAAACCTGACTGCTCCAAGGCTAAAGAGACACACATTGATCACAGTGAGACTTGGTTGATAGATACTGTCCGGTTTGAATAAGTATGTGCGTGCATGTCTGTTTATCCTGTAGGTATATTTTTCTCATACTCTTTACACTCTTTGGCTTTTTCTCTGAAAGATCCTGTGATGTGTATGCAACTTGATGTAGTGAAGCAACCCCTGAAGCCTACATTGTGTTGGATTAAGGTGTGATGGTCAGGAGGCTTGAGTCTGTTTCTGGACAATCAAAACATTTGGCTTGTTAAGGACAATCCAAGCAAAACTAATAATAATCAAGTCATTTTGATTTTAAAGTCAAGTTATTTGAGCTAACTAGTGGTTAACTAGCTTGTCTATTGAATGCACTATGTTATATAATCAATTAAGCACTGTAAATGCATTATATCTGCTTGTATCAGTCACATATTTGGCCCACAACGCTCAGACCAAGTAAATGACAAGTAATCAAGAAGATAAGTTAGGTGCATAGTGGCTAGCAGCCTTGTTTGGCATGTTGGTAATACACCTTGAAAACCAAACACCGCCCTTAATTTAAAGGGGACCTATCATGCAAAATGCACTTTTGTACGTCTTTTATACATGAATATGTGTCCCCGGTGTTCCAGGGAACTCACCAAGTGTCAGAAAACACAACCCTCTCTATTTTCCTCCATACCCAAATCTCTAAAAAAGGGGCTGCAACGGATCTGATAAAAACTGATCCAGATTTGAACACTGTCCTGACGTCAGGACGGTGGCGCTACGGCTATTGGGCCAACTCCACCAATCAGGAGGAGACAACCACGGCATTGCCGTTCGAAAGCGCTGGAGACGCTGTAGTACATATGCCAGGCCAGTAGATGGTGCTGTTCTCACAGAATCTGCCCTTGCAAAAACAGAGCTATAAATTGTCAAATTGAGCGAAATGAGGCATGGCTAAAATGCATGATCTGTTTGGTATTTTGAAAAAAAAAAAAGTATAAATATGCCTTATATAGGTATGGTCCTACACTATATTATTCAAATATAGCATGATAGGTCCACTTTAAGCTTTCCACAAGGTTTTCTTGAAATCTTTGCTTTATTATATGTGGAAATGGAAATTGTTTTTGAGCTACAGCTGTACAAGGGACATGCTACCATGTTAGAAGAATGACAACCATTTGTTCTTGTAGTAGTTTTTCTGTAACTGGTTATAAAAGCTCAACTTGGCAAATGGTGTGTTGCAAAACCCGATCCAAAACTTTTTTCAGAAAACATTCTATCACTGGAAGTGCCATACACTTCATTTCTTCCCTACAAAGAAAGGATGGTCAACAAGGATACAATATTTTTTTATTACAGTGAACACCTTCTAACCTCACAGAAATTAGATGTATTCTTGGTTTCACAAAGGAAGAAGAAACATTCTGGGCTTTTCTTTTGATTTCACTCCCCCGGTGGCACGACAGGTCTCTTTCTGCAGGCGTTTTTTACACTAGCCCTGACACCCAGCTTGGTCAGAAACAGTAGATGACTAACAAAGTAAAAGTATTTAGGGTTTGTTATATGATCTTTTCAGATTGTAGGAGTACAAAAGGATGGGATGTTTTCTATCCAAACTTCTGCAAGTGTGCATTTGTGCAGCTGAAAGTCTTATGAGTCATAACTGTTTTTGTCCATTTGTTCCACAGTAGACACACTGAGGGTATTGTGTTATCACAACCAACAGTCAACAAACAGCGAATTGGAGGAAGCTAATTCATTTAGATTTAATCGTTTAATCAAAGATTTTAACTATGCATTTTAGCAGCTCTTTTATGTCCACTAAACATTTGTATTAACTCTGTTCCTTTCTCCTTCTTTTGTTAGCCGCCAAGTACAATGGTGAAGTCTACAACAAGCGTCGGCTGATGGTGGAGCTGCCGTCTAAAGGTGGGCTTCCTCTCCAGCCAATGGGAAACTCTAGACCCTCCATGAGTAACTCCAGACCCTCACTGGGCAACATGTCATCGATGACTCCTCCGATGATCAACAACCCCATGACTTCTAACCAAATGGCCTCCAATTCCATGAACCCCAACATGAATCCCAACATGAACCCCAACATGAACCCCAACATGAACCCCAACATGAACCCCAACATGAACCCCAACATGAACCAGATGACCTCCATGACCCAAATGACATCAATGATGCCCATGACTTCAATGACGCCCATGACTTCCCTTAGCCAGATGACGTCCATGACCCCTATGACGTCCATGACCCCTATGACCTCCATGAACCCTATGACCTCCATGAACCCTATGACCTCCATGAACCCTATGACCTCCATGAACCCTATGACCTCCATGAACCCTATGACCTCCCTGGGTCCACTGACTCCTGAGCCAGTGGCCACCTACGTCACCGAGATGCCCGGCCTCTCTTCCCACTCAACCCTCCCGACAGAGCGGCACATAGCCGGTCTCGGAGGAGGCGGACTCAAGGCGAACGGCCAGAAACACAAAGGCAGTCATGGTCACTTGGGCCACAGCTCTCACAGCTCTCACCCTCAGTCCCACAGTTATGGCCACAGCCACAGTAGCAAGCCGCTAGGACACGGGGCGACCAACTTGGCCCACATGGCAGGGACCATGCCAGGTGGGATGTCCATGGGCATCTCCAGGGGCAATGAGACCGCCATTGGCCCGGGTTCGGCTACAATGGGCCGCCCAATGGCGTACAGCTCCAACACAATTACGTCTGGGAATACGATGGGGATGGGGATGAAGGCCTGGGATGGGACTGAGACTGTGGGCCGGAGGAAGACCTATGGCCACAAGAGGCCTCAGTGTACCGTGCTAGAGCCCAACCAGCTTCGAAGCACCAGAGGCCAAAGCCACAGTCAACACTTCCTCCCCACACAGCCGTACTATGTGACCAACAGCAAGACAGAAGTGACTGTGTGAGTGAGGAAGTAAGGAAGAAACAAAAGGGGGAAAGGATGCATGAGGAGTGGTGGCACAAGTAATCACTGAGTGCAGACACCAACCCCTGCGTTGGTCAAAGGCGCAGATCTATGTGTGTTTGTGTGGCTCGTTGGTATACTAGTGAATGTGGTGGGACAGTGACAGTGTGTCTTGAGTTCACCAATCAAATCACTACACAGACCTTTGTTGCCAAACGGATGGCATGATATTTGGTGGCATCTGTAACCATAACTTCAAAGAGCCTACAGAGCGGGGGGGGTGTGTACACTTGTGGAGATATTAGAGTGTTGTCTCACAGCTAATATCTACTCTGTAATATCTACAGCGCAACTTCACACGGATGATAACGTGGGAAACTGCTGATAATAAAATGGATTGGCTTTACGAACCAAACCTGAGAAGCAATATAAGGGATTATGTGTAAAGCACTGAAGCATCGCGGGACAGAGGAAACACAGCAAGTTTACCCACAAACCTCACAACATGAGTTCTGCTCATCTAACCAACAAAGCGTCGAATGGTTTGGAAGAAATAACATTCCCTCATGATTCACCCCACAAATCTCCTGAGGGCTTTGAAACTGACATGACGAGGGCGCCAGGCTTTGGACTGCAGACATGCAGGGCTTTGTACTGTTGCTATTCAGAAGCGCCTTCATGAGATCTGCAGCTGAAGGTCGCCATTTTCCACAAGGCTCCAGCACAGAGAATGGCTGTCACATTGGCATTGTTCTGTTCTGATCTCGTCTGTGTGGTGACAGCTGGTCCAGAGGAGGGATAAGAGGCAGGGAGGCAGCACTGGTACGATGCTGCAGCTAGCAGAGGCTTCATAGAGTAAACACACATTCAAGCTCACGCAAAACATATTACAGATCAACATGTTGAAACAATTATAGCAACACAGGGTTTAATCACAATGATTTCTTCAAGAAAGACACCAATATTTTCATTATTCGGTTAAAGAAGGCTGTTTTGTTTAATTTGTGCATGTGTCATCTTAAATTTGACATTTCTATTTCAAAAACGTAGAAATGTTCAGTGCTTCCCCAAATTACAATCATGTTAGTGAATTGTAAGCATCACAGTACCACAACACTCGAAACCAATTTAACTTTTGTAAATGGCAGCTAAATCGGAATTAACTACCTTTTCAGTGATAGGTTACAGTTTTGGATCCATAAATACTTTTGAATTATAAAACTTCACAATTATAAAACTATTGAAAATATAGCAGTAAACTATTGAGTTTGACAAGTAAATCAATACCATTGTTAAGTCTGTGTGTTAAATAGCAATAAATAAATGGTGTTAAAAATGTTCAGGAATGGTCTTGATCATTCAGAAAGAAGACAAAATAACTTAATAAATGAGAAATAAATGTATTGTATGTATTAGATTAAGAAAACACAGACCACACATACAATATTGGTCAATGTTATAACTATATTCCAAACATATTGCAATAGGTGGACCCAATTTAAACTTTGGCACAGATTTTTTATAAGATTATAAACGTAACTAGTTTTAGACAAAACAAAAATAAAAACAGTATTTTACTTAAACTGGTAATAAAAAAAACACTGCCATAAGAAACTAAACTGGATTAGATCACTCACTGTACTTGAGCTCTAGCTGAAAAAATAATTTCACAACCAGCAGGAAAAGCAAATGGGTTACATGACTCAAATATTTAAAGAAATCTGACAAATAGGCCAAATCTTCTTAGGGTTTCTCTGAGCCTCTTTGCTCTTTTTGTAATGATGAGAGATTTATTAGCAGCTGCAGCTACAGTCTTAATTTTGATTTAGAGGTACAAGCAACACTTTAGATAATTAAGACTCTCTGATCCCATTAGCCGCTTTCCCACCTCAGTACTTTGCCGTACTTAGTTCCCAGCACTTAGTTCCCCCATGGAACTAAAGAGCTGATCGCGTTCACACCGGAATAAGTTCCCTGAGAGAGGATTAGGCAAATGAAGCCGCTGACGTCACTTCTTCTTCTTCTGCTTTTGGTTTACTGGCAGGCTGCAAACCACTTCACGGCGTATACTGCCACCCAAAGTCCCCGGCCGGAAGTCCCCGGAGTTGGGGACTGGCTTCAGTAGAAGCTGCTGGGACTCCCAGCAGCTTCTACTGAAGAGTAAATCACCAGAACGCCGACATCTCCTCATCTCCACCGCTCCCATGTTTTTTTTTGTGTTGCCATAAGTTATTCTCTCTCCGTTGGTGCGCGGGGCTAATGCTAATGCTAATAATGCTAATGCCAGCAAATACAATGGCGGCTTCAAAAAACTTTTCCGAGTTTTACGGGGCGTGGTTTGCAATTCGCCCAGCCAAATTGGAACTTTTTTCTCCCCAGGAAAGTACCACCTCTCTAGCAGGGACTGAAAAGGGGGGAAAAGTTCTCATGAACTAAGTTCTCTTTTTGGTGTGAACGCAAAATCCCAGGAACTAAACGGGAAAAGTACTCCGGTGTGAAAGCGCCTAATGTAATCAGACAAAGCTAAGTCCCTTAAAATGGAAAAGTAAACAAAATTAGGACAGATTATGTTCTTTAAGGTGGTTAGAGAGATATTGGCAGTTATTTATTGCAAATTAATGTGCAGATTTAACCAAAGCACAATCAAAAATAAGAGTGTAAATTAGCTATTTTAAACCATGTAAATAGTGTCGGACAATCGGATAAGCAAAAATATGTCAGTGTGACACATTTGATTGGAAGCTCCTGCAGAGATATCCAGACTGCATGTAGATCTGAGGGAGAGGGGGGGTCTAATACTACAGCTTCTGAATCAAAAGATGAAAAAGCTTAGCCCATGAGCGTAAGATAAGGGGGTCTACAGGAGGGGATATATTTTATTTTTTTCGCTTCATGCTGTGAAACCCCCCGCTGCCTCGAGGGTCACATGACTGGAAACCTGAGACCAAATTGAAAGCATGGAACAGGATTGAAGAAGTCATCAGAGCATTAAAATGTGTGACCGCTAACACACTCTCACACACACATACACCCACACACAGAATACATTACAGGGTCGACTCTGCTTTCCCTTGCGCTCCCACAGTGCCGAGCGGCAGGCGTCATCGCAGCGGGGAGACAAAGTCAGTACTCAGTACTGTAACTGCGCCTGTTGTACATGAAAGACTGTGAAACTCCAGACCTTGGCCCTTTGTAGCGATAACTGACATTATGCTTTTTATATATATATATATATAAATATACATAGCCTTTTCTCTCTTATTCTATTTCTTTTTGACTTCTTTTTACCCCTTTTCTTCTCTTTTGGCTCCCTTTATGTCTGAATGGAGAGATATCTGCGAGAAACTATAATCGGGGCTGTGATGAATCTTTTCTGTGATAGTGGAGTACAGTCATGATGAGACAGTAAATAATAATAATTCACCTCCTCACCGCCCACCTTGAAAGGCATGATTTGTTTCCCTCTTGTGCATTGTTCCAGCAGGAAATATTATTGATTCTGTGCACCAAGATATGTAATTTAGTTTGCAATTTCGTACCATTTTGATAACTTTTTCTACATCAGAGTGTGTGTGTGTGTGTGTGTGAATCAAACTTTATGATTAATGTCTCTGAAGGAGTCAAACTCAAACAAACAAGGCAAACAAAAGAAATCGTATATAAATCGAGTTCACAATCCTATAAACCTGTTTGCTTCCGATGAGAATCCTTTGCAAATATTATAGTTTTTTCCCTTCAGCCCAATACTTTTATAGACAGCTGGTGGTTATGTTTGCAATAGAGTTGAGAAACAGGTCAATGTTTGCTCAGGATGTGCATTATCAGAACCAATTGACTTAATCCACCAAGGCAGAAATGTGGAAATATGAACCCTCCTTGCCATGTCGTACTGCTCCATCCCTAAAGCCTGTTCAGCTCTGCAAAAGCAGTCACTGGAACAATTGGTAAGCAGGCAGGGGAGAGTTGGTAAACAAAACACACAAAAAAAAATCCCACCCTGTGGCGGTAAAAGTCAAAATGAACCTGATAGAAAGCGGGGAATTGGCAGCGCTGGCTGGGTCGCGGTTGATAGGGTCAGGACCACAGATGAGTGGTTCAGGAGGCAGTCATGTCTGACATTTGTCATCACAGGAGTCAGTCAGACCAAAAATGCCACAACAGAAACTAAAGGACACAGGTAGTCTGCAGGCCATCCGTCAGACTAGTCAACCTTCCCTATTCCAGCTGGCAATAGAGTGGTGCAGTGACGAGTCCTAAAACCCGGAAGTGAGTTAGCTTTTTACCACTTCCCGTTCCCTCGTCTCAGAGTCAACGGGATCTCTCCATAGGATTTGGAAAATAACCCGAAATAAGGTCTGTGGTTGACACAAATTTAAGAGACGGATCACGTTTTGTTCTACGACATTAAATACATCAGCAGTGACCCCACTGGTGATTTTTGAAGAGTTTACGTGTCTGAAAAACGATGGTTGTTAACAAGTGGCTGAATAGGACTACAGAAGTTGTCGAGGACATTGTACGTCATTACGCCGAACACGTAAACACTCCTCTAAGTTAGTTTTCCCTGTTCTGCTTGAAAGCAAGTACCTGCCTCCTGCAAACTGTTCAAACAAACGCTTCAACTCGTACCATTTTGAATCTGTATGTTTGAATACAGATCTTAAGTTGGCGTGACGTTGAAGTCGTGCTGCTGGACTCGGCTGTAGTTCGTTTATAGCATAACGTTAGCATTTTGCTTCTGTCGATTCGATTTATGATTAGAAAATTATAAAAGTAGGGTAGACATGTGGAGATTATCCGGCTGAACAAAACGTGCATTTATCAAACAGGTTCGTTTTCCACAGATCTTATTTCCAGCTATTTTCCAAAATCCTATGGAGAAATCCCATTGCCTTTTTTGTTGAGGGAACCCATGCGCAGCTTACTTCAGGGTAAATACGTCATCCTTGCACCACTCTGTTGTAATCTTGCATTTAAGTATCAGTGACCACCTCCACCTCTTTGTGTCTTACTACTTACCGTGACACTGCCAAATGAGTCCCAAAATGAAGGATGACCGCTCAGTGTGAACTCACCGCTGCAAACATTCAGGTCCTGATTGCGCTGTAGGTGCTCTGCTTGACAAAGGCTTTTCACCATTATACTTTTTCTCCATGCCTGAATGGAAGTCAAATGAAGAGTGGAGGTGCAATCGGCCCAATTATAGGAGTCTGACCCGAGTTAGAGGGCGCAGCGGTTCACCGAACATTGATCAGCAACACAGGGCTGGAGCAGGAATCAGGCCAGTAGTGCAGGCAGCCTGGAGGTTATTTAGTGCTTTTGATGGACGTGCTTTGGCCTTGGGAACTGGAGTTTATAGCTGATACCACTTTTTGAACAGGTGCCCCAACCAACAAGTAATTATCACTATCACTTATGCTCTTTCCAACTTAAATATGATTCTTAGGCTCCAGACTGCATGCAAAAAGGTCAGATCTGTGATCATTTCAGTGTGCGCAAGTACAAATGAATCATGGTCACACTCAGCCCCTATCAGTTCCATCGCTGCCTCCAAAGTCTTAAAGTTAACATGACTGGTAAGCAGATGCTGAGAAGTTGTAAGCGTGTAGGGAGGGTCGAGCACACAAGGATAGTTTCCTTCTTGTTGCTACTGTTCTGTTTCCTCGTATCCCATACACACGGATAATTTTTGAGACAAATCCAACAACCAATTAAGCCGTGTTCCACAAATGAAGCAGTTAGTAAAGCTAATTGAGGAGAGGGAAGGACACTAGTAGGGACAGACAACAAGAGGTTTAGACTCCACTGATAATGAAAGTGCAGGCAGGGAGAGACCAATGAGACAACAAAATCATGTGCTGGTGAAAGTTGACAGCACAAATGATTTTAAAAAAAGGTTGTTTTGAGTCTGCCTGATCCCCCTGCCTATGTTAGCTATGTAGCGTGATTTGAGTCTTTTCCTGGATTCAAGTGAAAAAGCAAACTGCAAGAGAGGCAGATGAGAAATATTTCCACCTTTTGAAGTGCCTCATAACAAGACAAGAGGAAAAGCTGAAGGGCAAATAACAAAACAAAAATACTCACCTACAAGCTTAAACTACCACAAGTGCGCACACGCTTTATCGAGAAGCAGAAAGAGGCTAGTAAGATCTTAATGAGATATTAAAATCATCTGTGGTCCAACTTCTTTAGCGGAAAGCGAGCGGACGAGTAATATAAAAACGGCAACCCCATTAGACAAGATATGCTGAAAATCAGGGCTCTTGTTCAGCAGAGCAGCCAGCCGCTGGGAGGACACCACACTGAGGAATATCTACAAGGAGTATTCAATAAGACACAGAGAAAGAGCTGTACTGGGACCAGAGGCCAGAGGGGCTTT